GATAAATGTTGGGCAAAAGCCAGTGTCCAAGTATAGCCTCACAAAGATTCTTCAAATTAAGATTTCTATTTCTACTCATCCTATATCGTAGCAATTTATTTTCTAGTTTATATAAAAATCATGAAAGGACTTTACTTCATCAGCTAATTTAGGTTCCTCAAACTTGAACAAACTTTAATTTGATACAAATCCAAGGATTTGAGGGATAAGCAAATATCTATATTACAGTTGAAATTTGAGATTTGAAGTATACTATATTTTATCAAATAAAACCTGAGGTACTTAAAAACAAAACAAAAAACCTGGTTAAATTTGCACATTAACAGAATGGAAGGGTTCCAACACACACTAACTCTTTAGAGCCCTCTTAGGAGACTAATGATCCATCAGTGGCCTCAGAGAGTTTATATGTGACTCTAAATTTCAAGCAGTTTAGTTTTTTCTGTTTTCCTATATTATTTATGTTAATCAAATATAGGATGTCTTGCTATAAATTTGTACAAGTTGAACAGCCCAAATCCAAAAATCCAAAATCTGAAATGCTCTAAAAACCAAAACTTTTTGAGCTGACATGACGTTCAAAGGAAATGCTCACTGGAGCAATTTGGATTTCAGACTTTCTGATTTGGGATTCTTAGCTGTTTAGTACAAATATTCCAAAACCCAAAAACATCTGAAATCTGAAACACTTCTGGTCCAAGCACTTTTGGATAAGGGATATTCAACCTGTACACATGTTTATTTTTGTTCTTCTGCTATGCTTAATGTTTATTGTAGAAAACAAAATTGAACATAAAGCTACATATGGCCCATGTTCTACTTGTTGCAGGTTGTGAAAAATAACTTTGCATGGCCTCAGTTTTTTCATATTCACAATATACTACAGACCAAAAGAGGAGATGTACAGGCTGGAAATAAGGTTATGTGATATCTTCTCATTCCCATTATATCAGAACAAAAGCTGGTTTCCTCCAGAGTCCTTGCCTGGTTGTAAAGCATCTCTGAGTGCTGGGGCAGTTCAAAACTGCTTCTGTCCTTAGGTTTGAGAAAACAGAACGGAAATTTGCAAGGCAAAGAAAAGTATGGTGTAGGCCCAGTACAGCTGAAAACAGCAGCACCCTCATCTCTGAGGTGACCTCATGAAAGAACAACAAACTACTTCATAAAAACAATGTGGGACTTAGACCATGTGTCTAAGACCTATGTTCAAATCCCAACTTGAATCAGCATAGCTTCACAGAATCATTTCCTTGGCTCTAAGTATGTATTATTTATTATACTTATTACACTAATCCTTGTGACAGCTATGTGAGATTTTGTAAAAGTGCTTGACACCTGATCAATTCTTGGCAAATGTTATCTAAATCTCCCTCTGAGGAAGCCACAGATAGATGAAAGCTTATATACTGTTTCTATTTGCATGGCTCAGTGCCCTGACTGGCTTGGAGCAGTGTCCCTGCTTGACCATGGAGTGAACTGAGGTGCTCTGGCTAGTGAGGTCTAACAGGTACATTCCAGTATTGACCCATGGCAGCGTTCGGCATTATTAAAAGCTAGAAAATATTTCTTGAGGTACTACTTGCCCCATTTATTGACTCGTTTGCCTCAAAATTTCATTTCTAGTTTAAAAGTAATGATTCCCAATTGCAAGTGGACTTGAAGTGCACTTAATTGCCCTGACAGCAGGCAAATGATTTGACTTTCATCATAGCATCAGGTAAATGAGATTTTTCTACCAGAATAAAGTTGGGGGCTTTTTATTGTTGTTGTTGTTGTTTAGAACAATTACCTCTTATACCTTATCATGGATTTTTTTTAAAACAAGCTAATACATATATTACAGATTTCAACACATGAGTAAGTTTTCTTTTTTTTTTTTTTTCCTGGCAGCTGGCTGTCATTTTTTTGATAAAGAACTATGTGAGTCTAAAACTTAAAAACTAAAATTTGACCCCATGATTCATTCTAGAGTCAAAGAACACGTGTACTAAGCAGCTGATTTTCAAGGTGAGTAGTAGTGGAAAGACATGAAAGCAATTGAAACTAAATCATCATCTTCGTATTAAGGATGGAGCATTTCATGCCAGTGAGAAGAGTTATATTATCATTGTCACTGTTAGGCATTTATCAGTCATCTAACTGATGTGGCCTTGCGTTCAGTGCTCAACCAAAGCTGTGTAGACTTGTGGCCAGGCTATGGCTCCACAGCCTGCATCCTATTCTTGCACAAACCACTCCAGGCTCTTTGAGATTTTCAGTTGGTATTGAAGACACAAATAGTTCAGAGACACAGAAATTTCTTCTATTTATTTTAAAACTTCAGCAAAGGCATTTAAAGCATAGGCATATAAAGCTATGGGTCAAAGCAAAACACATCTTCCATTAACAGACAGCATTAGTGATTACTCAATTATCCTGAGATTTGCTGAGTTTGAGCTTATTTGTTGAATGGATATGAATATCATCATGTCCTATGAGTACAAAATGTGAAGAATCATTGTGGCATCAAAGTAAAGAATTTTAAAGATTAAAATGGTGAGAAACTTAATATTGCTTATATACTGTCACTTTAGCCTTATCCTTAATATAGTTAGTCATTCAACAAGTATTTGAGCACTCCCTGTGTGCCAGGCACTGTGCTAGATGCTTGGGATCTATCATTGAACAAAAGAGAAAGATCCTTACCTTTTGGGGGTTTACATTCTAGCAGAGGTATGTATACAGATCATAAGCAATGATCATAATAAATAAGTACATTATATGTTAGAAGATATTCGGTGCTATGAAAAAAGAAAAAGTTGTGCGAGGGTGTCTGGGAATGCTGTGGGGGGAGGGGAAGAAGGAATTTTAGCCAGCTGGTCAGGGTAAGCTTCATTAAAAGGTGAATGGCAGGAGCAGACTGGGCAAGGGGAACAGGGATAGGAGAGGAGATCAGAGAGGTAGGAGGGTCCACATCATGGAGGACCTTGTAGGCCAGTGTAAGGACATTAGTTTTTACTCTTAGAGAAATGGGGAACCATGAAGGATTTTGAGCACAGTGACTTATGTTTAGTAAGAATGCCTTTGGGGCCAGCCCCGTGGCTCACTCAGGAGAGTGCGGCACTGGTAGCGCTGAGGCACTGGGTTCGGATCCTATATAGGGATGGCCATTGCGCTCACTGGCTGAGCGTGGTGCAAACAACACTGTGCTAAAGGTTGCGATCCCCTTACCGGTCACAAAAAAAAAAAAAGAAAGAAAGAAAGAATGCCTTTGGCTTTTGCATAGAGAACAGAAGGAAGGGAACAGAGAAGGAAGCAGGGAAATTAGTTAGGAGGCTATCGCGGTGATCCAGGCTCAGGCCTAAGGTTTTAGTAGGGAGGATGGGTGAGAGGTGGTCAGATACTAGATATATTTCGAAAGGAGAGCCACCAGGATTTCCTGACTGGATCAGGAGTGTGGTGTGCAGGAAAGAAGAACAAAGGATTACTCTGAGGTTTTGGGCCTGCTCAGCTGGAAGGATGGAATTGCCATCTCCTGAGATGAGGATGGCCGGGGGCAGAGAAAGTTTTGGGGGTAAGATCAGACTTCAGGGTTGGACATATTAAGTCTGAAACACCTAGTGGTCATCCAAGTGGAGATATTAAGTAAACAGCTGGATATACAACTCTGGTGGAGGATTCAGGAAAGAGGTCGGGGCTAGAAATATAAATTTGGAGTCACTGGCCTGTATATGATGTTTGAACTTAGGAGACTGGATGAAACCAACAGTGGGATACTTAAGAAAAAAATCAAGGAGCAAGCCCTGGGACATGCTGATATTCAGGGGTTGGGGGAAAAAGGAGCCAGCAAAGAAACTGAGAAGGAGTGATGGAAAGGTGGGAGGAAAACCAAGAGAGTGTTATGCTTCTGGAAACTAAGTGAAGAAAAATTGAACAAGGAGGAGCCGTAAAACTCTCTGGCAAGAAGAGAACAGGAGAACAGAGAAATGAAATTATCCGTAGCTCCAGGACAGGCCTGCCATCCCTCTCGGTTTCCTTGGCCTCATTCTTTCTGAACTAAGCACAGGAGCTCACAAAGGGTTGATGACGTAGTTACTAGCTGACCTCTAGAGCCCAGCAATTCTTTGAACTGCTCTTACCAACTTTTACCAAAACTCTTAACTAAAGAAAAATTGCACAAATGTGCAAAAGTAGATTGTACACTGGAAAAGATCCAGGTTCACACACGTAGTTCACACACCAGAGAAAAATTAACGCCAGTGTCATTTTTTAAAATCATTTATCATCTACGTTGAACTGTAAATGCATTTTCAGCCACAACAGTAAGAAAAAAGAAAGAAACATAATGAGCACTTTTGAGCAAATTTTGCCAAGGGCAAATACTTTAGACACCGCTTATTCTTGTTTCTGTATAAAGACGCTAAATTTTGCCTTTGAAAAAAACAATATAAACCTCTTGACCACTTAAAATCCTAATTTCCTATGAAATCCTAGCTCTCTTCCCTCATTTAGAACTTGTTTAATTTCTCAAATACTCCTCTGAAGAGAAATCTAATTTTCCCAGAAGTGTCCCACAAGTAGATATAATGCTTCTTTGTCTCAAAACCACTGACTTTTTTTGCTAATTATCTAATTTCTGCACCTTTCTATTGAGAAATACTGATGTTGGCAAAATAATTGCACCAGCTTTGTCTCTGATTAAAATTAGTAAGCCACCTGAAGAAAACATGACCTACCAAATGTTTTATATTGATGTAATTTGTTCCAAGATTTTAGCCTTCCTTTTTGTTTGAGTTTGGGGATTTTTAAAATACCAAAGCACACCATAAAACAGATTCTCTGTTTAATGGTCTGATGGATGTGTTGACCTTGTCTTGAGAGACCTTTAATTTCAAGAGTCCCCGAATTACAACCAGGATGTTTGAGGCCAACTTCAACCCAATCTCTCTTGCTCTTCTAAGAAGTCTTCCTGTATGAAATAATAACATCCATTACCCGCAAAGTGGAAGAAGCATACTTACCAAGTGTACGTAAGGCACAAAGTATCCAAAAAGTGCAAGTGGTATTCCAACTGCCCACACTGCATAAGCTGTCACCTTGAAGATGGCAAAATTGAAAATTTTTTTTGGAGGACTGAACTTTCTCCTGGAAAAGAGGGAGAATCTGCTACTTCCACTCTCTTTATCTTTGGCACTGGAAGCAAGAGGTCGGTAAGTAAAGCCAGCCAGAAAGAGAACAAACATGAAGATGCAGAGGACCCTCAGTGTGTAAAAGAGGCCAACACTGTCAATCAGAACCCTTAAAAGCAAAGGCAGCAAAATCGTGAAGACACTGCTGCCAGCGGTGACAATGCCATTCACCAGTCCAAGGCGCTTCTTGAAATAGTGTCCCAAAATGACCAATGAAGGCTGGTATGCAAAGGAGCAGCCGCAGGCAAATATGATTCCATAGGTAAGGTACAGAGGCTCGATGGAACTGTATAAAGATGAAAAAGATGGAAAGTAGCTTTCATTATTTTTATCTTGTGCTTGGTAGAATAAAACCTTATAGTAAAAGTGGGTTTTAGTTAATCAATGTATTTTCCGAAAAGAAAAATTAACCAAAAACAGAGGAGAACAGCTTAATGAATCAAGAATGTTGCACTAAAATATTTTGATCTGTATGTATGGAAAATGACCGTTAATGTCATCAGTGATTTTGTTCCTCCTTGTCTTTCCATGAATTTCAGGTGAACCACACAGAACTGGGTAAGAACTGTGCTCTCTCCACAGCTCAGAAATAAAGGTTGGTGCCAGGAAGGGCCTCAGTAAAATCAACAGTGATTAAACTAACAAACAAAAAACATAGTCTTGATAAGATTTTTAAAAATTAGAATTTAACTCTGAAAACTCATTATTTCATGGAGTGTTCCCAGGTACTTACCAAGCAATCTAGTAAAGGAAAAGGCTGCATTTGATATTTTCTTCCCAAGGTTACCAACAACATTTGCATAATGAAGCAGTTATGTCTCATTTTTATTGGCCTCAGGGCTGTATGTAGACCAACCTTCGCCCTGTATTGCACTGATCACAGTATTGTGCAAGATAACAAGAAATCATATTCTGATTGCAGAAAGACTAAATTAAATGTGTTCATGTGTGATCCCAGCTTGTAAGTTTTAACGCCATGTATGTCTCAAAAGAATAATAAAGGAAGAATTTTATAGTTTAACCAAACAACTGCACATCTCTTAGGAAGGTAAAGGATCATATAATTACATTCTTTGAAACAATTATGATAAGGAGTAAAAGAAAACTAGTTAAAGTTTTATGAAAAGGTTATTCATCAGTAGTAAAGGCAAATAATTTATTAGAAACTAAGATATATAAACTTGGTTAATAATTAAATTTTAGACAGTAATGCTAGTCTAGCAACATGTTGTGGTAATAGCAAGGAACTCTAGAACCTGATAAAAGTAAGGCACATTTGCAGTCCTGTCTGAGATGTCCTTCCCTTTTATTAATCCACAGCTAGCACCATATTCAAAGCAGGCTCAAGAGTTATTTCTAGACATTCCCAGATTAACCTCACCTCACTCTGATCGTCCTTTACTGAATGAATCTCCACTGTTTATCAAACAAACATATTAAGCAGCTACTATGAACCAGATACTTAGTGAAAGAAAATATTTAAAATGTGATTCTGCCTTCAAGCTACTCATACTCTGTTTGGTGAAAATCAAACAAACATATTAAGCAGCTACTATGAACCAGATACTTGGTGAAAGAAAATATTTAAAATGTGATTCTGCCTTCAAGCTACTCATACTCTGTTTGGTGAAACAAGACATCTATCCCAAATAATAAGAATATAATACAGAACAAAATATAAAATAATATTTCATTCCTTCTGTATCAGTTTTTCCACATACGTAGTTTTCCAAATAATTGCAACTTACTTCTTAAAGCACTAATTTGTTTTTATTTAACAATTTAAAAGAAAAACCTAAAATCTATTACACAATTTTCTGCTTTCTTCAAAGTGCTTATTAAAAATAGTGTTGACGGGGCCGGCCCGGTGGCGCACTGCTACAGTGCGCTGCTTGGGAAGCGCGGTGGCGCTCCCGCTGAGGGTTCGGATCC